AATCAGGTCTTAAGTTTCTGTACACTCACGTATGTGAGGAAGAAATACAACCACAACGTTGCTGAGATATTTGCAAAACTCTGGACCGCAGGTGTCTATGGTGGGGAACGAACGCGCTATTGTCCTTTCCGGGGAGTAATGCGTTCACCACCACACCATGCGGGTCCTTTGTTTCGCCTGTCTCTCAGCTATTTCTATCGATCTTTGCCACAGCAATCACCCGTCAGCGGGGATGATCTGGGGCGCCCAAATCGGCATAGAACCCAGTTAAGCTGCGGCTGTAGTTGAAATCACAATGTTATGCCTTTTTATTTTCTGCCTACTATAATTTCGCGGCAGGGTACTAAGCGAAATACAGCCACAACGTTGCTGAGATATTTGCAAAACTCTTAAAAAGGCAGCTTAACTGGGTTCTATGCCGATTTGGGCGCCCCAGATCATTCGCGCTGACGGGTGATTGCTGTGGCAAAGATCGATAGAAATAGCTGAGAGACAGGCGAAACAAAGGACCCGCATGGTGTGGTGGTGAACGCGTTACTCCCCGGAAAGGACAATAGCGCGTTCGTTCCCCACCATAGACACCTGCGGTCCAGAGTTTTGCAAATATCTCAGCAACGTTGTGGTTGTATTTCGCTTAGTACCCTGCCGCGAAATTATAGTAGGCAGAAAATAAAAAGATATAACATTATGNTGGGGCGCCCAAATCGGCATAGAACCCAGTTAAGCTGCCTTTTTAAGAGTTTTGCAAATATCTCAGCAACGTTGTGGTTGTATTTCGCTTAGTACCCTGCCGCGAAATTATAGTAGGCAGAAAATAAAAAGATATAACATTATGTGAGGAAGAGTTGAAAAAGCTGTGAATGGTATACAACTTGTCAACGTGCTCTATTTTATAACCGTATTGATCAGCAGCCCATAGTTTGCGTCAGAAGTATTAACGAAGTGCTCTCCGCCTGCCGTGCAGCTTTTCCTTCAAATTGTTCACCATGTCCACTTTGTAAAACCTCATTCACAAGTCCCCCATCCCTCAGGCGTGGAAGGAATGGCACCATACAGATATTAGAGGACACGAATTTTGACTTAATACTAACCTTTCGCAAGTCACCGTTTAAGCCAAATATACATTGAATTACCTCTACGACGCTGCGAATTTAAATCAATGCACAGCCCATCCATCAAGCATCCGGACCACGTCGAAGGCCTTATCCGTTAATCCTCATATCGTTTCATGAACATGTGCATGTATGAGCACATGTATGTTCATATTCCACTTCTCGATCACTGCTTGTTATTGTTCTCTTCAATTCCATTTTATATTGCTTTTTCAGCTTCTTCTTTGATTGTCAAATCTTAAAATTTCATATTTTTCGTTCATTGAGAAATATTCTTGTTTATTATTTCCTGGATCCAAACTTTATGCAGATCTTAAAATCGTCTCCATACGGATCTAGTGGGGTTTTGGAAAGAGTAATAAAAGTAGGTGGTACTCCTCACATTAAGATTTGAATTTTTGAATGCTTGAGTGGTCTGCCTATACGAAAGACAAGGAATCGTTCGGGCCTCAGCATAATTTTCAATTTACTAGAAACTCTTCGGTTGGGAAAGCCATTGTTCCACCGGAACCTTGAAAGACGCGGTAGTGCTTCACAGGACATCATGTCGGCTACTGAGCTGCTAAGTAAGAATAGCAGCAATTCGTGGCTTTTTTAAGCAGCTTTTTAGATGTAAATTTCGTACTCTTCCCTCAGTAAACTCTGTTTGGGGATGAGCACCAGCTGCGCGTAGCCGTTCAATGCTCAGGAATTTCTCTCAGGATAATGAATGAAACTACTACTTTCTCACTATTTCCTATATATTTTGATCTTGACATCTGCTAAACATTAAAACTACAATAAGGAGGATCTGCAAAGGATAAAGCTCTCGGCGTTGATCAATCCCTGAGGAATGCGCCATGCATTTAACTTCATTAAGCATCGTTTGGATGTGATTGGATGCATATCTTACCTTTAGAATGACTCGCGGTGGCTTGGCATTGTATCGAGCCAGTGCCGCTATTCTCCTAGATAGGTCTGGTACCAATTTGCCGACTCCGGAAGGATAGATGGCTTGGTGAACCACGGGCGCGGGGAACGATCCCAGGTGTGTGTTGCAGGGCGCCTCCAACCACTTCGTCACGCGCGCCTTTGAAGGGGGATCTTAGGAGAACTAGAACCCGTTTTCGTTTCTATGCGCTGGGAATTTGTTACCTCCAAAAAGTTGGCCATAGTTTTTGGAAATTTCTTAGTCTCATGTTCTTTCTTCTCTATGGACGTTAGAGCAGTAGGTCATGTTGCAAAGCTTCTTTCTGGTCTCTCTTTAGAACCACAAGCACCGTGTTTGTTTAGTGGATAGTATTACTACGCGAACCCGTTAAATATTGCCAATGCTCACAAAAGCAACAAGCTGAAGGCGAAAAGCCAATTGCTCACTGAGTTTTACTTTCACAATTCCGTTCACAGTTCTATCTCTATTCGCTTATTTGGTTTCGTTGACGTAATAAATCTAGATAAGAACCTTCTGGCTGTCCTGAAATGTAAGGAAAAGATGTTTTTGAAAGAAAAGTGGAAAGATGTTTCCCGCGAAAAAAACGGTTCCTGCGAGATCTTACTGAGGGCAGTTGTCAACTTTCTCATAGAAACTAATCTAACAAGTGGGTATTTCGTTCTCATGTTTTGCCGGAATCCAGTGACATCCGACAGTCCAGTTGGAATGTTTGCATGTTTTCGTTCAGATCAAGCGCTCGCCTCTTTTCTTCTTCTTCTTCCTCTTCTGTTTCTTCACGAACTTCCAGTTCCACCTTATTCACCGACCACTTTAGACGTTTTAAAATATCTTCTTTCATAAGTCTGTACTGACGCGGAAAATGAAGGCCGTGTCTCAGAAGACAATTTCCAATGCTTTGGTGCTAAAAAAGGAAGACGATGACTTAGAAAATAGGTTCTAGTCTCTTATTTTTAAAGGCATTTTCTCACAAATTCCTCATGATAGGTCAAACTTTTTTAAGAAAGAAAGTTTGTCAAGGGTTTCTCTTTGCCCTCATGTGACTTAAAATCATCCTTGTTCAGCTGTTTTTTCTAAGGGTTTTTGACTATACCGTCTTGGATTGTTAAGATATCACTAGGTTGATAAAGATGCTTATTCGGCCAACGTTTCGACGTCTTAGTCTTTCTCAGAGTCAGTAATCCAAGTCGATTCTCCATAGTTGCTCGTCTTCTCGATGTGGTGTTATCGTCGTTATATGAACTCGTGTCTCCTAGTCGTACCTTTGACTATGTTTGAAGAAAACATGGAAAGATATGAAGAATATGAAAAAACGAGGAATAAAACTATTTAAAACACTTTGAACGAAGATTGATGTTCAACCTACTATGTACTTTTTTAATACGTATCATTGACGCGTTGTAGGGCGCGTGTGGCGCAGTGGTAGGTACCGCCCTGCAACACACACGTGGAATCTATCACCGCTCCATGGCCCACCAAGCCTTCCGTCTTTGCGGAGTCAGCAAATTGGTACCAGACTTATTTCGTAGGATAGCAGTACTGGCTCGATACATCGGTAGGCCACCGTGAGTCATTGTAAAGACCAGATATGCATTCAATCAACTCCAAACGATGCCTAATGAAGTGGAATGCATGGCACATTCTTCAGGGATTGATCAACACCAAGAGCTTTATCCTTTTTGTCCTTTTATCGTTGAAGCAGTTGTAGTTTCATCACACTTATAGGCCTTTAAAAGGTAGAGGGAATTTTAAAACATGTCTTTAAATTGTTGAGCTTACATATGGTTGATAAATACGTTTATTTCAATTCCAATTGTCATAACTGTTCAAGTATGTTTTAACTATTTTTAAGGGTTACAGAATTTCGATTTCCAACCATTTTGGAAGGTCGGAATTTTCACATATAACTAAATGCTTTATTTTGTTGCGACATTTACTTTCCATTCTGTGGAACAACCACGTCATGAGCAAATTTTATTACTGTAAAGTACTCTCTAGATCTGGGTAATGTTTGTTTATTTTCCTCCCAGCGGTTTACCGCCTCATCGTGGCTGGGTGATGTTCCTGGGTGTTGGGCTGCGATGTACAGCGCGGTGATTCGTCCCTCCGGCAAGGTCTCCCATGCTGAGGAGTCCGGCGCTTCCGTCAGGAAGTCCAGATAAGAGTAAACCAAAACCAAGAACCAATACCGACCTGGTATCAAAGCAGTAAGATGTTAGCAAATCTACCTCTGATCCACAGGGGCTGCGACTGCCTGTCGTGGTGACGACCTGGGGAAGACTTTGGTCAGGCTGTCCTCGGGATTCCAGGGAACCACAATGGTTTAACCAGCCAATTTCCGAAAAGTGGTAATTATGCTGGGGCCCGCACAACTAGTGATAACCGGCCGTTCAAGTATCAAGTAAGTATCAAGTATAAAATATTCTCAGGTGGAATTAATTTCTATGCTGATTTATAAGTCCCACCATGGAGTATAGTAGATGCAGTGCCTAGAGATGAGAAGCAATTATACACGTATAGTCGCTGGTTCGACCACGTCCGATTTCTGTCTTTCTCGGATGTGGAAAATTTTCACCAGAAGCTTTACCCGATCCACAAATGCCGGCAACTGTCTGTCATAAGAATTATTGAACGCTCTAGTTGAAAGCTATATGAGGATCTCGATCGAGTACACTTCACACTGCACAAGTATTTATTTACATTCATTAAGGAGATAAAATTTTCAAATAGCATTCGAAACCACACGCTGATCAAAAGACCATCGTGGATGACAGATGTAAGACAACGAAGCGATCTATCTCCTACCAGTAGAAGCTATGCACCATGCAACCCTACTGAGTTCCTTCTAAATTTTTGCTCTTCATATTTCGCTGCTCAGTGACTTTTAAATCATTGGCTAGTCTATTTTCTCTCTAACATATTTTTTAGAAATGTCTAATCCGCAAGATATTTTTACAACTATGCTTGCTGCATTCATCGTCTTTGTACCAATGGTACTGACAAGGGAGATAACGCTATGCGACTACTTCAGGCGCTTAGGTGGGTAAGCTGTATTCCATTGCTGTTCTGAAGCTCGCTACCAATTTCTTTTAATGTTTTCAGTTTCAGGAGTCAATCTTTCTGATTGTAGGCGAAATTCACCGATTCGTTATAATTCTCACAGGGAATTAGGAACACATTACGACGAAGCCATTTCGAATTTGGCCATTTCTTCATCATGCATGTTTTTTTCTGTTGTAGAGTTTTCTTGTTGAAGAAGGAAGTATTTCTCATTGAAATTCTGGGACTTTAGGTGATAATATTACAGTGGGCTTATAATGAGGTAGCCGGAAAACTGATGGAACACTATTCCATTTTCAGCGTTTCCACTGTGCACTACGAATTTCCATTCGTGTATGTCCTCCTCGCTATGCGAATCTGGCACCGTTTGCATGAACGACATCACTTCCAGCTCGTGTTGTATCAATCCGGTGAAAAAAATGTTCGTTCAGTAAAGTTTTTTTGTTTCGATTTGTTTTTTCTGCAGTTTTTTATTCCATTTTGTTTAAACGAATTCAAAAATCTAAAGGAATCAGGAATGCCTTCCATCGAAATTCGTCAGCGCTCAGAAGCACGTTTTCAGCAAAACTGTATTGTTAAAGAAGTGTCAACAGATGCGCCATGCATCCGACTTCATTAAGCATCATTGGAGGTGATTGAATGTATATCTGACCTTCATAATGATTCGCGGTGGCCTACCGATGTATCGAACCAGTGCTCCTATCCTTCCAGGCAAGTCTGGCACCAATTTGCCAACCCCGGAGGGATGGAAGGCTTGGTAAGCCATGGGCGCGGGAGTCGATCCCATGTGTGTGTTGCAGGGCGCCTCGGTCCACTGCGCCACGCACCCATTTAATTGTTAGAATGGAAAATTCTAACACTCTTTCAGATTTTACAAATTATTTCATTTTCTCACCAAGTTCAAGGTATCGGCATTCACCACCACTTCCTTCGATAGTCGTGTAATTTTTTAAATTTTCATTTTACGTGACATTTCTATTGCGCTGATAGCAGTATTTTTCACATCCGATTCGGCCCTCTACTTCCGCCACTCACGAACGACATGGCATGTAGCTTTGACTGCTGCTTGAGAATTTTTTGATCTTCGTTACTAATGTACTTAAGTGCGGTTCGAGTCGATTCTCTCTGCAGTCCTGGAACGGTCGTGCTAGACGTTCTCAAGCAGTGAATAATATAGCTCCCGACAAGTCTGTCACCAATTTCCAGAATTCGGAAGGATGGCGGACTAGGCGAACTCAGTGCGGTGTCGAACCAGATCTCTGCCTGCTATGAACGGCATCACTTCCATGCACAACGTGTTCCTCCGCCTTTACCTTACATACTTGGCTAATTGGATAGCCTATCTTCACTAGTTGTGACGGCTCCAGCATATTCTCCATTTTTGGAGTTTTGATGGTTCAACCATTCTGTTTTCCAGGAGTCCAGAGGACAGCCTAGCCAAAGTCTGCCCCAGGTCGTAACTACCACAGGTCACAGTCTTTGTGGAACAGAGGGAGATTTGCTACCATGCTACTGCTTTGATACCAAGTTGGTATTGGATCTTGGTATTGGTTTACTCTTATCTGGGCTTCCTGACGGAAGCGCCGGACTCCTCAGCATGGAAGACCTTGCCGGAGGGACGAATCCCTCCGCTGTACATCGCAGCCCGACACCCAGGAGCACCTCCCAGCCACGATGAAGCGGTAATACCGTTGAGCACCTTATATAGTGAAGTTATAATCACGTGGACGAAAAATTGGACACTACAAAGTATAGAAGTAGTAGAGCGAAAATCGAAATAGACTTTTTTCATCAACCTGAATATTAAACCTTCAACACATAGCTCATAGAACTAGCTCTAACTGCCTTATCGCCATGAATAGTTAGAATAAAAAACCTCGGTGAAGAGGTTGATGCTCTTCGTATCTCTTGGAAAATAGAGAACCTGTGGCTGGCTCTGGCACACATAATGGATGAAAGGAAATTTTGTTCGCACCAATTTCTGATGTGGGCTGGTGCAGTCATCAGCTTCAGCTGTTCTAAACTTCCTCATTGGAAGTCACGAAAAAGCGGTGGGTTTTTCGAGAAGTTGTTGATCGTGTAATTACCATAGTTTTTCGTCTTTTTGTAAGTGCTATTGAAGCGTTTGGCCTAGTAGATTGTACGTCAGTATACCCTTCCAGGCTCTGAAGAAGGCCATACTGCCGAAACGTCAGCTAGCGTTGTATTGTATTGTGTTTTTCTATGGAAGTAAATGTATGCTGTTGAAAAACATCGCGATTGCTGAACGTGAAAACGACACAAAGGGAATTTTGTTTGTAGTCAGTTGATAGTATAGAACGAGCGTGGTCTATTTCCATAGTTGACTCCACGTTAGATTCTTTTAGTCAACAACATAGAAGCGCTGGAGAACATTGAACTTACTCAAATGGCGCTGAAATACTTGCAAAACTCCGTGCCGCAGGTGTCTGCGGTGGGGAACGAACGAACTATTGTCCTTTCTAGGGAGTAACGCGTTCACCACCACACCATGCGGGTCCTTCGTTTTGCCTGTCTCTCAGCTAGTTTTATCGATTTCTGCCATCAGCAATCACCCGTCAGCGGGATTGATCTGAGGTGCCCGAATTGCCAATGAACACAGTTAAGCTGAGGCTTTAGTTATAATCACAATCTTAACCGTTTTATTTACTGCCTACTCTTTTTGATGGCAGGGTATATTGCGAAATATGACTTTAATGATGCTGAGATATTTGCAAATCTCCGGACCTACGGGTGATTGCTGATGGCAGAAATCGATAGAACTAGCTGAGAGACAGGTAAAACAAAGTGCCCGCATGGTGTGGTGGTTAACGCGTTACTCCCCGAAAAGGACAATAGCGCGTTCGTTCCCCACCACAGACATCTGCGGTCCGGAGTTTTGCAAATATCTCAGCATCATTAAAGTTATATTTCGCAATATACCCTGTCATCAAAAAAGGGCAGGCAGTAAATAAAACGATTAATATTGTACTTACTCTCTGATTTATAATGCCGTAAGTAGAGCAGTTGTTTGTTTGACAAACAGTAGAAGAACTGATGCCTACTATATTATATTAGAACAAAAATAGTATAAGTAAATGCATCAAATAAAAGCATCTGCCGACCAGTTCCTTCTTTTCTTATCGAAGATGTTTCACTTGTAATTCGGCATTCGATTCGAGTTATTCGATTTCGATAATAACAGCAAAATCTAATACAACAAAGACAAGAAGGGATTTCAGGTGCCCTCATCCAAGTGCGCTAAATGTACAGTGTCTGAAACAACGAGCAGTGAACTGGTAAGTAATGCTTTTGTTGCTTTCATTCAGTGAAGTGTTTTGGACTCGTCTGTTGATACTCCACCCTATCAAAACGTGACTGCTATATAACCTTCAGACCTATACGGTGTCACCTAAGCTTAGCTTATAGGTGCACAAGCGACTACGACTGCCATGGTTCGTCTACAATGCCGGCGTTGTGCTGCCCAACTGGATGCAACTATAATATGTGCGTCCATGTAGGAGTCCCACAGTCCCATCCACTTATCCGAAGGCAAACCGGTCAGCGGTTTTACTAAGTGATTTTCATCCTAGCTCTTCCACTAAGTGATATAAGCGTTTGGAGCTGATCAATCCCTCAGGGAAACGCCATGTATTCGGCTTTATTCATACTGTCAGAGGTACGAATGAATGTGCATTTGGCGTACAGGATAATTCGCGTAAGAATGCCAGTGTATCATATCACCTCCACCATCTGCACTCCCGTTGATTGCCGAGTGACTCGCTCAAGCGGGAGCTAATAAACTTTCCAATTCTTCCTGCAGGAGTACTCTGTTGGATTTCTACTGGCTCTAAGGGCTCGTGGAGCAGGATATCTTTCTTTCAGGGTTTTTGTAAAGGACACTGACAATCGCGTCGGTAGTCTTCCTACTGTGTGTTTGACACCCCGATCAATGCAGTCACTAACAGTTCTTGTCCATCGATTGTCGTTCAAACACATTACGTGCCCGAGTCCTCCTTATCTTCGACAGTTCGGCGTATAGAATGGCATCATCGATTTTTGCTTGTTGGCGTTAGTCGTAGCTTCGGTTTCCCTCTCTAACTAAGGGTGCTACGGGATACTCCTAGCATCGTCCTCTCGACTGCGCGTTCCATAACGTTGAGTGGTCACTCATCTTAATTACGTAAACCCAGGTTTCTGACGTATTCGTTAAGGTAGGATGAATCATGGAGCGGAGAAATTGAGCAGGGATTCCGGTGTTCTTGTTCTCACTACATGTTCGATCCCTTGATTGCTACTCGCTTCCTCATAGTCAACTCTGGCGCTAAATTGTTTACAACGTTGACTTTCCAACCCAGAAAGACATAGCTAAAGCACTCGGAGTTATTTGTTTCATTGAGTCTGAACTTAAAAGCTCTAAAGCTTTCGGCGCTTATCAATCCCTGAGGGATGCGCCATGCATTCGACTTCATTAAGTATCGTTGGAAGTGATTGGATGCATATCTGGCCTTTACAATGACTCGCGGTGGCCTACCGATGTATCGAGTCACTGCTACTATCCTTCCAGGCAAGTCTGGTACCAATTTTCCGATCTCGGAGGGATGGAAGGCTTGGTGGGCCATAGGCGTGGGGATCGATTCCACGTGTGTGTCGCAGTGGCGCCTCCAACCAATGTGCCACACTCGCCCTATCTACTATATATACACGCGCTAATTTGTATCGGATCCAAAAATCAAGAGATACAGTGCAAAGCAGGAGGCCTCATATTTATCTGTGATCTAACGTTATATCTTTTGAGAGTAATTTTCGTGAGTATTTCTCGTTCTGTGGTGATTCAATTCATTCAATTTTTCTCTTAGTGACCTCGTTTTCTGGGAACTAAGACACAATTTTTAAGCGTTTTTGGCTTTTTCTCTTTGATATTATGAAAATGTTGGCCATGCAGATGGACTGCATATTCGCTCCAATACTCTGAAGATAGCAGAACTCCTGGAAACATTAACCGTTACTAAATAAAAGTTGATGTCGCCACACACGAGTTTAAAAATACTGTAGCCACTCGTCGCTCCGGGATGAAAAATTGGTACCGGAGTTGTCTGCGACAAAAATCACTCGCTGCAATCTAATTGGGAACGCCCCAGCCCGGCTATCTCAGGACTTCAAGGAGAGTTTCTCGACCGGCATTCTAAAACATTCAAGGTCAAGCGGAATTTTTCAAGCAGCAACCTAAGCCACAGGTAAAAAGTTGGAAGGTCTTCGTGGACAATGGATGCGAGGAAACGAATCGAATGTGGGAAGTGCTGGAATCCGTACAGTAGACGCGAAAACGGCTCAAATAAAATAAGATAATAATCAAATAACGTGTTGACCAATACCATAGTTGATTAAGAACTAAAGACCTAATACATTTGCGCTCATGTCAATCCTATAGGTTTCATTCAATACGGAAATAATGATCAACCGCATTAGTGTTTAAGCAACATTCTAGAGTATGTTAGACTTCATCAGTTGGAGTAGAACCTGTTACGATCACAGATCTACGCCTTAAATCTACGTGTAGTTTTATCCTACAGAGACGCAATTCTGTCTCCTGGAGTTTCCCACCTGTTTTCGCGTCCAAGCTTCTTTTCGTCCTATTTCGAGCAGTACGAAACCAATAGAACAAGAAGAAATTCATCCAGCAGGGCATAGTGGTTCTTCTTAGCTTATCATTAGCGTTTGCAACAAGAGTGCCAGCATGTGAAACTTTTTAAAATTGTTCTAAAAAATCTAAAGTTGAACAAGTAGTTTATGAAATTTATATGTACACTTAACTGAAAGAACAGTTTTCTCCTATAGGCAGTGAAGTCCTCAGCTACTCTGATAATCGAGAGATAAACAGCAATTGTTGAAGAATTACTACGGCTGTGAACGTTTCATTTGTTATCATTTGTTACTCATTGACGTTTTGAATATTTTATCGGGTTAGATATATCGTTTCAGTTGAAATTTTGTTGAAATCCACGAAGTGAGCACTTCAGAAGCAGTTTGAAGCAAACAGACCTGAAGAGGGCTACTTCAGAATGAGAAACTTTTCTCCATTTAGTGTAAATTTTCCATTTAATTGAAACATTAGTAGCTTTTTAGTGTTCTCTTCGCTTGACGGCGGCGAACCGTGCCCTGATCCATACACCGTCGGCATCACGTGCACAGCTGGAAGAGCGAACAGTTGGTGTCTGACGGATTCGGAGTGTCCATCAGTGAATTCACTACATCCACGAAAGTAAGCAAGCGAGACCCTTCCAAAACTTATTACGATACTGTTAAAAAGGAGCAATTCTATGACAGTATCCTAAGATGCTGTGGTTTCGACTGCAACCTCAGATTAACTGGGTTCAATGCCGATTCGTGCTCCCCAGATAATTTCCGTTTATGGATGATTTTGATGGAACCGTTAAGGGGAAAAATTCGACAGAAGGGCAAAGCAAGGGCCTCGATGGTGCAGTGGATGACAGGTGAGACCTCGGAAAGTGTAATCGAGAGCTCGAAGCTTGAAAGGGGTTCCGAGTTCTGCTTATATCTCAACATCGTTGTCATTATATTCTAGGTTTTGTTTATGGAAATTGAAAAAGAAGAGAGGTCACATCATAAAGAGACCTTCTATCCCTTCAATGTGATACATTTAATGAAAAAAATTTCTTAACGAGTTTACCATTTTTTAGGCATGAGCCTCCCAACGGTTTACAGCCTCATCGTGGCTGGGAGGTGTTCCTGTAAGTCGGACTGCGATGTTCAGTGAGTATTCATCCCCTGGTAGGGCCTCGCAAGCTGAGTAGGAGTCCGGCGTTTCCATGAGAAAGCCCATCTAGGGGTAAACCAATGCCAGTCCACCACCGTCCTGGTATCAAAGTCGCCTGGTGGAGAATCTCCTGTTCCACAAGGGCTGCGACTGCCTGTGATTGTGAAGACCTAGGGCAGGCTTTGTCCAGGCTGACCTCGGGATTCCAGGGAATCACAATGGCTGAACCAGCAGATCTCCGAAAAATGAAGATTGTACTAAGGCCGGCACAACCAGTGAGGGCGGGCCATTCAAGTATCAAGTGTCAAGATATGAGTGTCACTTTCTTTAAAATGGCGCTCAAAAATGATTTTAGAAAAGGAAAAAACTGCGTAGTAGAGTTGAACACTACGTCGATTTATTGAATTACGCTGTAGGCATGTTTCGTTGGTTATCGCTAAGTTATCTGATAAAAGCTGTAATGCAGAGCTCTCGGCGTTGATCAATCCATGGGGGTTGTACCATGCATTCAACTTCATTAAGCATTGTTTGAAGGTGATTGAATGCACATCTGGTATTTACAATAACTCGCGATGGCCTACCTATGCATCGAGCCAGTGCTGTTCTCCTCCTACACAAATCTGGGACCAATTAAGTTATCTGGTAAATTGCTAAATTACCGCGCGATGTACTGAGTAATGAATTCGAGTCGATAGGGAAAAATCTGGTATTTAGTGTCTTATACGGATCCTAAGGGGCGCGTGTGGCGCAGTGGTTGGAGGCGCCTTGCAACACACACGTGGAATCTACCACCACGCCCATGGCCCACCAAGCCTTCCATCCCTCCGAGGTCGGAAAATTGGTACCAGACTTGTCTGGGAGGATAGCAGGACTGGCTCGATACATCGGTAGGCCACCGCAAGTCATTGTAAATGCCAGACTTGCATTCAATCACCTCCAAACTATGCTTAAAGAAGTCGATGAATGGTGCAGTCCTCAAGGATTGATCAACGCCAAGAGCATTATCCTCTTTATTCTTTATCTGGATCCTATACACCGTTCTTTCATATCGATTTTGTTGTTCCTAAAATCGTTTCAAAAATCGTCTTTCACATTTATCATTTTCGAAGCTGGTGAAATCTTCCATTGAAAAGATAAATATGACGTTAGTATGGTGTTGAACACATCGTGAAATACATTGCTACGGTAATGACAGGTAGTTCTTCGTGTTCTAAACTGACTGGTATGTAAGTTGGTGAGCCATCGTATCTTCCAATTTCTGTACCAATTAATCCTCCTTGACCTACCTATATTATCAGATAAGAAATAAATCAGTAAAAATCATAAAATAATAGTAGGATAAAATAAAATTAATAGTAATAGAAAAATGATAATAGTCATAAGTCATAAAATAATAAGAGGAAGAATTTCAGGTGCTGTCCAACCATATGTGGCTACACCGCTTGCCTTGTGAAATACAATGGAAAGTGGATACTGGGATAACTTCACAGAGAGGATGTGCTCTCTAGCTTCGATTTCTTACGAGTTCTATTATTGAACTTTTTTGCACATAGCTTACAAGATGCCTTTATAGGAGAACTTTCATCTAGTGACGATAAATCAATGGCCTCACTTGTCTGTGTTGTACAACCCTGCAGTTGATTTGACCACCTTTTTGCTGCAAAACTTCATAAGCGTTGATTTTTTACTAAATGAAAGATGCTTTGGGGGCACTTAATTTCATCGATGGTTCTGAAATGTTGTAAACCGGAAAAAAACGTAGTCATCATTTCCTGGAAAGCGGAGCACAGCTACGTCGTCATCCATAAATGGAACAGTGACGGTATCTCATTAGGAACAAAAAGAGCTTCAGTACATGCTGAAAAACTGGCTAAAAATAGGTAGATGCGATGAAAGAAGTTGACAGTTTCTGTTTTAATGGTGCGACTTCACCAACCAAAACTTCCAGAACCCCGTTCGATTTATGATCTCGCATCCGTTATCCGTATAAGTCCGCATTTGACATCGGGAAACATTGAGTACCTTGTGTTTCTCACGAATGTCGTTGAATGGATCATCTTTGGAGTTGTGGAGAAGTTTAGTAGAGTATCAGAACATGTGAATCAGACAGAACTTTTCGCAGACATGTCTGGTTCTAATTTACTCAACCCCCAAGTATGTCGGGTTGGTCAACCACGGACAGAGGTGAACCAAGAACGTGTGCATTATCAGGGGACATCTTCAACCACTGCGCTTCACGCGAGTCTAAAAAGAAATGAAGAATTGATTTAAACGGGTGTACATGTAAATCTTTATTCCATTTATAGGTATTTAAAAGGCGCGATGAGCTGAAATCAATAATAACGTGTTGTGAATGAAAATGGCAGTAGTTTAATCGTGATGTAAAATCGATATGAGAAGACACCGGTAGAGACGAATGTGAACTGACGCTAATGATTTTCACTGGAGTAGTCAGAATAGGAAATCATCCACTTAATCTAGTTAAACTTAGTTGAGCTTAATATATTCCTAAGCAGATGGAACAAATCCTTAATGATATTGAGCTGATAACATCACTTTATCAGAACGATGGTTGATAGAGAGTGAATAGAAAGGTCTCCTTATGCCCACGCTTTTTGATTGAAGTGAGGATTCTGGTAAATTACCGGATTATTGATAATACGATGAACCATTGGAGAATACATTTAAAAGCGTTACGGAAAAGCCTTATCGGAATGAGAGAGAAATTTTGAACCTAACGTAATGAGAACAAATGAGACAGTTCTTAAATAAGGAGAGATCAAGTACAAGCGGAAATAATACATGAGACTCGGAAAGTGAAAGGTAGTGGATTTCCTCAAGAGATGATTTGGAAATTCGAAGGAAGAGTCCATAAACACTATCTAAGTTCAGATCGAACGGCTGGGAAGGATTATCGAATTTGAGATTAAAAGAGAGAGGAACAAATAAACGATTACGAGAAAACTAGCAATGAATATTTCATGAGGTTGTCCTACCTAAAGTTTTACAAGAAATGATTTATTCTCAATAGCTTTCGCTAGAATAGGAAAATTCCCGAGAGGTGGATTCGTCCTTTTCATTAAAAAAGTCTTCACAAATTTTGAAAGAGAAAATGAGGTGCTACGCCACGAATCCATTCCAGAGCAATGATTTTAAACGACAAGTGGGACACCTTCCCTCTTGCTGACCTCCTGAATTGCTTCATCGGTGTTCGGTTCAGCGGTGGTGTTTGCTACTGTGACGACCGCACGGTGATTTTTAATTCTAGACAGTCTGAAATGCGATGATTATAGTTTGGTAGTGCCACTTCCGAGTACATCCGGACCGTACTTCCATGCTGTAAACGGAGTATAGCGTGACCACTAACAAAAGTGAACAAAAAATAAGAAAGAAGTTCCTATGGTCCGTTTGAAAGAGTAATAGACGTAGTATAAAATCAAAAAATCACAAAGAGTTCGACGCTGATCAGTCCTTGTACGGAGTATTAGGTATTGGGCTCTATTCATAGAATCGCAGGAAAGGGATTATTCAGAACACGTTTAGCCTACGCAATAAATGCTCCATGCTTCCAAAAAGGTTTGGTACCAATTTCCCAACCCAAGAAGTATAGGAGCATCATTAGTTTGCAAGCGTAGCCGAACCAACAGAAATGTGTTTACCAACGATACTTTTAATCATTACTTACGCTCTTCAGTGAAGTTCAATTTGTGTCATACAGTAAACACGTGGAAGAATTTACTACTTCAGGCACACTGTCAGATGCTCAGCAGCAAATGTAACATTCGCGAACCTTGATGTGGTCACTTGAGCAGGTTGTGAAGGCAAGCCTTTAGCATCCGGAAGCGATCGGCTCGTCGACGTTGTGCGATTGAGACGAAAGCTACCACCAGTGCTCCTTGAACAACAAGTCACATCCCAGTGAATAAATTATTTCAAAATGTACGATCAACCATCAGAGATTCGGAGAAGTGTGGAGATATAGAGAAATACAAAAAGGTCGTTCCAATTCTTTCTGCCTCAGAAAAGCATGGTACTGTAGGATCTTTGAACTTCAAGAATGACTAGAATGTATTGCCATCACATATCTCAGGTGTAAAACTCAGACCTCAGGCCAGATTCGAACCCCTGATTAGCCTTTCCGGCGACCCACGTTTTTCCTATTGCCCCACCTAGTCTCTTGCTTTGCACTTCTCTCAGCCAATTTTTTACACCCCATTGGTGCTATCAGCAATTACCCGTCAACACGAATGATCAGAAGAGCAAAAATCGGGATTGAACCCAGTTAAGCTAAGTTTGTAGATATTTCAGCATCATTATGCTTATATATTTCACATAATGCCAAGGATAAAACAATGAACAGTATATAAAAAATAGGCATTATGTCAGGTGCCTATTTCTCCTTACAAAATAATCGTAAAGCCTCGAGTACCTGTGCGAAAGAACACGACCGAGTCGCGGATGATTTTGACCTTCGGCGCCACTACTGCTGTCACGTCGTTTTCGCCGAATCGATTGCGCTCTGTAATTTTTGGAATTTCCGGCGTTACAGAAAAAACCCCATGTTATTATTATTATTTAAAATGTTCCAGTATAGTATTTATACTTTCCATGAATAGTTTACCTCACATCGTGGATAGAGGGTGTTCCAGGGTGACAGACTGCGATGTGTAGCGGTATGCAGACGAAACCTGATGTTTCCACACGTAAGTCCAGGCAAGGATAAACCAATACCAGAAATCAACGCCGAGCTGGTGTTAAGTCAACCGCAAGGTGGCAAGTCTTCCTTTGATTCACAAGTGGGAAAGCTTCGGCTAGGCTGAGGACAGGATTCCAGGGAACCACAACTGCTAAACCAGCAAAGACAGCGTTAGTACTCCGCACACTCGGCGCTCCTGTCTATGATGTCCGACAATGGGAAAATCGGTGAAAGGCTAACAAATCTCGGGTGCACAGGACACCATTGAAAACGGGCAAAACGAGAGCTGTCACAACACCCCATGGAGACGGTTTCCTGCTCTGTTCCTATAACACCAGAACATTCTCTTCTGAGCCAATCTTCGAATCCCATCTCATCTTCGAAATCCTAACACTATACAACTACAGCGAAACACTGGTATGCGAGCCACATAATAAGAAGTACAGATGACAGATGGACGAAAAAAGAGTGAGGTGGACTCCAAGAGAATGTCATCGTCCTGTGTCTTGAACGATTAACCAAAATATAAGCGGACATGCTCGTAGTTAGCGTTAACAATTTGCATTCGCAGAAAACGATTTGACAACTGTGGAATGTAGCTTGTGAACGATACCACGTTCGAGCCAGAGCACCACCACGGACGACGACTGCGAGAGAAATAAATGAATGGAAATCGTCCTGGAGCGCGGTCTGTGAAGTCTCAGTACTGTTTATATTTCACTCTTGGTCGATACTACCATATATTCACAAGGCTAGTGCTTTAAATATCATCGAAGAAGTAACACAACTCTAACCACATTCCATGGAAATACTACGTGTTTCCTCGGTCCCTTAAATCTCACTTATTCAATTTTTGCAGGAGAATCTGGAGAACTATTTTCCGTATCTCAGGAACCGTTCGTTATATATCTTATTCGCTATACTTTTGCTCTGCCATTTTCGTCTCGTTATTATTCTTTTTCTGGTCTATTGCTTAAATGTAGGTTTACTAACCCAAATTGATGTACAGATTGTGTAGACGAGTAACACACAAGGACTCGTGTGACACTGACCAGCAATGACATGCAGTCATCAGCCAATCATCCTATTACACTTGGATGACCAATTTAATATTCAACATCCTTCCTTGAAAGCCAACGTCGTGTATTTAATGAACAACTACATCCTTATGTCTGCCGTAATGAATTGGTGCTACAGTTTCATCACACTCTACCCTACTCTATATCCTAGTGAAGCTTCCAGTTGGTAACACTTACGTATTTTTGTAGAACTCTCAATCAGCAAACGTTTCAACAAGGGTAAGCCAATTGCTGAAAAATACTGGCACATAAACAGAGTGTCAGCTTCCTAATGAACAACTCAATACTTCCCTCCTTCTTAATCAACCAGAGCAATCTAGGCCCGCGCTTGGAACCTGGCAACATCAACTGTCCAACCAATTATTCGAACCATTATCTAATTAGTCAATTCGTACCACCATCATCGGCTAATTCTTAGACGAGATGAGTCGAATGATAATCCAGTTGGTCATAATTGAGCTAAACGCATAAAAAATTTGCTCTATACCTGGCAAAGTTGAGCAGACTGGAATCTTCGTCGATCAGATTTTCGGGATGCTGTGAGAGGTAGCGCTTCCAGAGGGCGTCGGTGATCTCCGTGCAAAACATCACGCCCGCATGCAGAGCAATCATTCGCAATACAAGCACACCATCCACCTTTAACTGATATAAAATTAAGGATCTTGATGTTAGACTTTAGTAAAGAACTCACCTTAAGATAGGTGCGCAGGAAATGCTCCACTTGTTTTCGTTTCTCCTTCCGAAAAAGTTCTGGCTTATCCGGATCGAATGTGAGCTCCAGATGACGTAACACGAAACGAAACCGATCCCTTAATTATTATTAATTATTATTTTAAATTATTTTATTTATTTTAGTGAAATTATTTTAGCCTAGAAAAGGTGAAATGAGATGAAAAGCAAGCAAAGAAAAGAAGAAAAAAGTTGTAAAGCTCGGTCACTGATGATGTTGAAAATACTTCGCAAAATTGCTTTGTTGTGTAAAGCGTTTCCAATTTATCAATCCCTTGGGGATGAATCATGCATTAAACTCAATTCATAGCATCGTAGAGGTGAATGAATGCTTGTTTGGCTTATACGAAGGCCTTCGATGAATAAAGTTAATGCTGTGCAATAAGCCGAATATATTTTTATAACGACTTCGTGTTATCCCATCAGTGAAAATATACAAAGCGTTTTATTTTTTGTGTTTTCGGTTTTAGGTGCTTCTATCCTCCCAGACAAATTAGGTGCCAGCATGCCGCTTTCTGATGAATAACGGGCTTAGTAAGCTTAGGATCGAACCAACAAGGTTATGTAAATTTTTTTGTACCCACAAGCTTATTGAATTTATGAATAACTCAAAATACTTCTAACCACTGTGCCATCATCATAAGAGCATAAGAAGCAGTAAATTATTGAAGTAGTATTTTCTAAAGAAATTTTTTAATTTCAGAAAGAGGGTCCTCTTACGAAGTGAAGGAACTAAGTGCAATCGAAGGCGGAAAATAGGGTTATCGCTGAAGAATTGTGCTGGAAAATGTCTAAACTTCTTCGTTTAGCAATATTTTGCTGAATGGTGAAGTTTTCTCAGCCACCGTTTTTTCAAGACGGCATACAGGGATAACAAAAGCTTCATCGTTAAAGCTATATATGGATTAACTTGTACTATAGAGACCTACCTATGGAACATGGAGATGCTGAACCAGTACAACATATCGAGTGTGGAGGCGACAAAAAGCAGTGAAAACCACAGCCATATGAGAATGAAGATCTTTTCATTGAAGATGTTGATCACCAACACACATTGCACCGAATGGCGTTGATTGTTTCCAAGAACTCGCACTTCAAAATCACACTGAAAACCATTACCGACGATGAAAGCATTCGAATAGTTATAGCAAATATTCCTGAAGAATCTTGGAGAGAAGACGAGAACCTTCAGCCGCGGTAATATATGGTACTGTACAGCAATGTTCGATTGTGGAATTTAGACTATGGACAATCAAGTCGTCTTTTTAGTAAACGTCTTCATGAGAAACCTTTAAATTTTCTATAAACACAAAAGTAACGTTTTCAAGTTCTTAATTACAATACTGTAACATTTTTAAAGCTTTACGTAGCTCCCAGGATTGACTTTCTCTTAACCTCGGCATTGCAATATGAATGCGTCGTTTTCTTGTTCAGCAATCGCGAGGTTTTTAAACAGCATACATTTACCTCCATAGAGAAACACAATACAATACAACACTAGCTGACGTTTCGGCAGTATCACCTTCTTCGGAGCCGCTTTTTACGTGACTTCTAATGAGGAAGTTTAGAACAGCTGATTATAGTCGCATGTGGTTGACGACTGCACCATCCCACATCAAAAATCGATGAGAACATACGGGATCAGGTCGCGTATGGCCTCCGGGCATTCATCCCTGCTATTCATTGTAGGGTTTTTGGCATTGATCCAAAAAGCCTCAAGAAGTTTTCGCGCTGGTGTTTTAGTCTCCTGTGCAAGGATATTGACCTTTACTTCAAAATCGACTCCGCTATGCTTTTGTATCCTATGCGTGCCTAGTGGGGTGCTTCGTCTCAGTTTTCGTTTGCCATCTAGGTCTTCTTTTATACGGATTATACGGATACAGAAAGGTCAGCGATAGTTGAAATACCACCGGCTACTCTACGTCGTCAATTAGTTCGTAACGGCCTGTATGACCGTCTGTGTGAAACAACAAATTGCTTAATTTGCCCTTACGGCAGGGACGGTGATTGCATAAGTTCAGGTACGATATACCTGATCTCTTGTAATAATTGCGGAGATGAATATATTGGCGAAACGGGCAGACCTTTGTGTATCCGTATAAAAGAACACCTAGATGGCAAACGAAAACTAAGACGAAGCATCCCACTAGGCACGCATAGGATACAAAAGCATAGCGGAGACGATTTTGAAGTAAAAGTCAATATCATTGCACAGGAGTACAAAACACCAGCGCGAAAACTCCTTGAGGCTTTCTGGATCAATACCAGAAACCCTACAACGAATAACAGGGATGAATGCTCATAGGTCATATGCGACCTGACCCCGTATGTTCGCATCAATTTCTGATGTGGGATGGTGCAGTCATCAGCCATATGCGACTATAATCAGCTGTTCTAAACTTCCTCATTGGAAGTCACGAAAAAGCGGTGGGTTTTTCGAGAAGTTGTTGATCGTGTAATTACCATAGTTTTTCGTCTTTTTGTAAGTGCTATTGAAGCGTTTGGCCTAGTAGATTGTATATCAGTATACCCTTCCAGGCTCTGAGGAAGGCGATACTGCCAAAACGTCAGCTAGTGTTGTATTGTATTGTGTTTTTCTATGGAAGTAAATGTATGCTGTTTAAGAACCTCGCGATTGCTGAACAAGAAATCGACGCTTTACGTAGCCTGTTTGTATAATTAAAAAAAGAATGGAGTTCACCAAAAGTGGGCCGTTGGAATTCTTTAATACTTAATACTTCAAGTTTAACTTTAACATAATACTTTAATACTTGCAAACTTTGACGGCCCGTCCTCACTGGTTGTGCGGGTTCCAGCATATCCTCCACTTTTCGGGGTATTGGTTTAGCGGATTAGCCACTGCGTTTCCTTGGAGTCTCGAGGCCAGCCTGGCTAAACGCTGTCCCAGGTCGTCACCACAACAGGCAGTCACCGCACTTGCGGATCAGAGGGAGATTTGCAACCATGCGACTGGTTTGATACCAGGACACTGTCAGGTTCTTGTATTGGTTTACTCTTAACTGGGCTTCTTGGTGAAAACGCCGGACTCCTTTCTACCTCCGATGACCCAGCCGGTACGTGAATCCTCCCGCTGTACATCGCATCCCGACACCCAGGAACCCCTCTTAGCCATGATGATGCCTAAACCGTAAACCGTAAACCGTTGGTAGATATCCTTCAATAAGAAATTCAAAACTGAACACACGACGTTTCGCGTCCGATATTCGATATTTTAGTTTCAGATTTTGGCTACAACTACTGAACTATGCAAGATATTCCTGGTATAAATTTTTAGGCTTTGGTGACAATCCTCATCTTGGCTTCGTTGTCCTACTGATTTTGCTTCTTAAAAGCCAAGCACTTTTTTCCTATTTCTTTCACACATTGATTTCTTAGATGCTCCACTCTTTCACGGGTTTAAAAAAGCGCTCACCAGTGTGACTCTAGGAAAATTCCCGCTTTCCATCCATGTTCTGCCGAACATCAAATCTCTCAACACTCCAAGGCCGTAGATGGAATAGTCATCGGTTTCGAGGAATTTATTCACCAACACTAGATTGGTAAGAATATTTCCAACATACATAATCTTTGTGGCCTAAAAAAACCAATGAGGTTACCGACTTTGAAGGCCTTCAACCTAAGAATGAAAGATTGTCCCATATCACAAGGTTCTACTAATCATTCTCACCAAGTACATTGCCGTTACATAGCTTTCATAGTAGCGCATATTGAAACACTTAAAAACTCTATGTAATGTGTACTGTGTCCGAGATGTAGCAGTGTGCTGATACCTGAAATTCAAAGCATTCATAAAAAAGTTTGAATGCAGATAAAAGCTAATAAATCGATGGTCTCGTTCAAATGCTTGATTTCTCGGAATTTTATCCTCAGGTTTTTCCTTCGTTCAAATCTCTGCCAATGTTTTTTGTGTACACAGAAAATCCGCTATTGTTACATATCGCCGTGGTTCCAGCAATAGTATTAGGTTCTTCAATTCGTTCTTGAGAAAAAATGAGACATCCAGCGTAGAACAAACCCTTAGTACTATGCATTCGATTCCATTCGTGACATCATAAGGTGATGAGGGCATTTTCGGCCAATAGAATAACTTCGGACACCTACTGATACATAAGCAAGTGTTTAATAACTTTTTAAGCAAGTTAGCAATGGTTTTTCTGGCAGAATCGATGGAAATCTTGGTTCGCCTATGACGTTGGATCGAACTAATGACCATGTGAGCATTGCAGAGCACCATTTACGGACTCGATTCCGGAATGCCATAGCATTTTTGGAAAAGTTCGAAGAAAGATTCCAGTACTCGTATATTACATATGGTTGAGCAATTTCGGTATATATAAGTTATGGATCAACCACTCCTGCTATTTATTTAACACTTAGTGTAAAATTAACATTCACTGTTCGTACCAATATTACCATCAAAGAGGGTGGTGGTTACCATGACGGTAAAGACGTAGTCGTTGGTTCGACCTAGCACTAAGGTCAAATCTATCTCCTTTTCCTCTGCTGCTGGAAAATTTAAATCAGAAATCAATTAAATTCACCCGAGAGAAACCAAAAGAAAACTGGCTTCCATTTCTGAATGTGCAAATTAGCCTACCAGAAAACGGCTACATTAGAAAGTGGTATCGAAAGTCAAGTAGTAAAACCATCCTGGTTCATTGCCTCTCCTCTCACCCCTCTCACACGAAAAGGGCGCTTGTGAGAAACATGTATCGAACAGCTACCAGCGTGTGTACAGGAAGACAGCAGAGAGAGGAGTCCCTGAACTTGGCGCGACAAATAGCCATTTTTAATGGTTACGAAACGGGGTCGAATACGTTGGTGAAACGGGTGGACCACTCTGCGTACGTATAAAAGACCACCTAGTGGGCAAACGTAAGCCAAATACTCCATTAGGCACGCATAGGACGCAGAGACATAACGGAGATGATTCTGAAGTAAGGGTTACGATCCTCGCGCAAAACTCTACAGACATTCTGGATTAATTCCAAGAATCCGAAAATGAAGCGCAGGGAGGAATGCCTCGTTATCACGCGTGATATTGGACAGTATATAAACGTGTTATTCTGATGGGAGGGGCACATTACGCCTCCATGTGAATTTTGTGCGACCGGTCTTCACACGACATACTCAGTGGAAGACTCATAGAAAGCGGTGAGTGTGCAAAAACTCTGTGTTCAATGTGATTGAAATTTTGGTTCAGCATTTTCTCTGTTTGGTTATGGAGGTGTTTAGCCGGATAGGTTGCTGTCAACTTGACCTTTCCAGGCTCTGAGGAAGGCGAAATCCGCCGAAACGTCAGCTCGTACGTAAATAAGGAAATAAAATAGCACCTCGTGTTTGCTGAACAGAAGTAGAAAGGATTATTCAATCAATGCCGAGGTTAACAGAAAGTCGGACTTGGGATTTAAATCAGAGTTATCTGTGAAGATAGAAGTACTAAATTGAAGCGTTGGCAGAGTCCTTAGGTAAAGGCTGAATTTGCATTCACTCACCTTTATGATGCTCATTAATGCCAAATCCGTGGTACAACTCTTAGGGATACGCCAATACGGAACGATTTTTTCCCTTTATTATCATTTTTCTTTTAGAGCGCGCGTGGCTCAGTAATCGGAGGCGCCCTACAACACGCACACGTGGGATCGATACCCGCTCTACTGGCCCAACAAGCCTTCCATTGCCTTGGGTTGGCAAAATTAGTGCCAAACTTGTCTGAGAAGATAGCTGCATTGGCTCGATACATCGGTAGAGCACCATAAGTCATAGTAAAGGTCGGATATGGATTCATTCACCTCCAACGTTGCTTAATGAAGTTGAATGCATGGCGCATCCCTAAGAGATTGATGTACGCCGAGAGCTTTATGCTTTTATTATCATTTTTTGAAATTTCCCACTACCCGATATCACGAACTGATCAAGCACTTCTTGCATACGATTCGTTTCCCGTTTCCACTTATCCTCAAATTTTGTGCAGGTTCGGCTACTGCTTGAGAATCTTTGGTTTTTCTTATGAACGTTGTTGGATGTTGGTGCAATCGATTCTCACTGGAATCGTGAAGTAGCCGTGATGTGGCGTTTCTAGATCTTTATCACAGCCAATTACCTCCTTTTTTGTGGTGGAGGAAGCGAGTTGATTCTAGACGTGCCTGTAATCAAGCTCTCGTCTCGGAAGGAAGGTGGACCTGGGTTTCTGGGTGGAACAATCCTATTATTACTACTGTTCGAAAATGGCACCTTTTCTGCAGGTCACTAGAGTTTTTTGTCGCTATGCTGGATACTGAAACACATAGATTTGGGTTCTTTCAAACCTCAAATAATTTCATGAAGAGTTGAGTGATATGAAATATGTAGACATTACTACTCAGAAATAATTATGTGAGTGGTTATTTTTACCTTAGTGTCAAACTAGAAAAAACCTCATAAAAGTGGCGAGCTTCCAGAGAAAAACGATTTTAAACCCTTCAAAAAAGAAAACATTTAAGAAACAGAATTTGCATAACATCAATGATGCTGAGATATTTGCAAAAGTCCGGACCACAGTTGTCTGCATTGGGGAACGAACGCGCTATTATCCTTTCCGGGGGGTAAAGCGTTCACCACTACACCATACGAGTTCTTCGTTTCGCCTATCTCTCAACTAGTTCTATCGATCTCTGTCATCATCAATTACTCGTCAGCGGGGTTGATCTGGGGAGCCCAGATTGGCAGCGAACCCACTTAATTTTTAGAAATTTGCATAGTTTGCGAACCTGAGTGCAGATTCAATGTGCCTCGACAGAGACTCAATTGTGCGGATGCGATAATCTGGTTCTATGTTTTCCTTTTCAGTGGCCATTTGAACAATATCATTAAGCCGTATACCTAAAGAAGCCGGTTTTGATGAAGAATGTTGTCTTTGGCCAAAAAGAAACTATAGGAGAAAAATAACTCGTATGAAGTGCTGAGATATTTGCAAAACTCCGGACCACAGGTGTGTGCAGTGGAGAACGAACACGCACTGTTGTCCTTACCGGGGAGCAGCGCACTTCACCACTACACCATCCGGGTCCTTCGCTTTGCATGTCTCTCAACTAGTTCTATCGATCTTTTTGCTATCAGCAATCACCCGTCAAC